GGGTGGTAATGCACATCAGCTTGATGAATTGGAGTATGACGTTAGTGGACTCATCATATAGTCAAACAGATGCACTAAAGTTCAGCTTGCGTGATAAGCAGATGAGTCCACTAACAACATTGTTTCCCATTATATGCCACCAAGCAGGGTACTTTCATAGCTCATGCCGTCAAAAGCGACCCTTGACGTGGATGAGGTTTAAGTTAAATGCAAAAACCTTGAAATAGCAAGATTCGCAGAGTTGCGGGGATTGGGTTATCGCCTCTTTGCAGTGGTTGATTGGCTCGGAGGATCGTACACTTAAGGCCAACGCCATAGATGGGCTTCAAAAAAAATATGCCCTTGAGATTTTTGCAAATAGCATGCCATATTAAATTTTTTAATTTTTTAATTATTTTTTTCTTTTCAAGATGTAAATAACATTGTTTTGTATCATGTCCATACTATTATTCTTTGTTGTATCATTTACAAATTTTTTATCTTTTTTGTACCATTTTATAACAAAAAAGATGATAAATGCAATAACAACGGTTCTGGTATTCATTATTCGTTAATGTGATAAACATACGGGTTCAATGACAACAACATTAGTTTTTCTTATTCATATCCAATTATGGTATTATTTTACGTAATTTACATCCTAGCGTTCATGAGTTTGCATAGGTTTGCATATGCCAAACCCTTTTTACTTTGTAGCCTATATGACATGTTGAATTGCATTGCGTGACATGGGGTTGTAACCAGTTGCTATTGAATTGGGTGAATGGTTGATGTGGAATCACGTTAGCAGTTTATATTGATTGCCTTTAGTATTTGATATGAAATCAAGCGAGTACTAAATTTTGAATAACGCGAGTATTTGATACGGAATCACGATAGTATTTATATGAAATCACACGAGTACAAAATTTTGAATCACATGAGTAGTTAATATGCAGTCACGTGAGTAATAGAATTGGAGTCGCGTTAATAGTAAATATGGAATTACGCTAGTATTTGATATGGAATCAGGCATCCTTATATATGGAATCACACGAGTACTAAATTTTGAATCACGTGAGTAGTTAATATCATATCTCGTGAGTAATAAGTCACTCAATGTGTAATATCCATAAAACAAGTCACGTAACTGCCCAATGTCACATAATACATAACAATAAGTTGTCCAATACATCAAAATCAGTCATGCAATACTTACAAACTACTGAACAAAAGCCTAAAAAGAGTCATGAATTGCATAAGTCACGCACCTCCAATTTTGCAATACCTAATAATAAATCGCTCGATCCCTAACATCCACTCAAGTTATACCAACATAACCAGTCACGTACTACCCCAACGTCATGCAATACATAACAACAACTCACCATATACATAAAAACCACTCACGTAATGTCTCAACGGAAAATATGCATTGCACAATCCACGCAGCGCGTATAACCCAGTCTCGCAATACCTAATAATAGGTCAAGCAATGCCTAACATCCACTCATGTTTGCTTCTCTTATATAAATAGAATAGAAATAGAAAATGAACTTATTTAGCATAATATAAATTTATCAACCAAGAAAATATGAGATCAATCAAAATTTTTATTTTATTCATGACCGAAATAAAAGGAGATGATACAAAAAAAAAATATGAGCCGCAGTTCATTTTTTCCTAAGTTCATCTACTATTTCATATATTTCAAGCAAAATCTTGTTGTTGGCCAGGATATCTCCCTCCAAGTAAAATGTCTTGGCCACCAGCTTGTCAATCAGGGCATGCATCTCTTGCTGCATCTTTTCCACTTGCTCCTTAAAGGCAAGCATCTCTGGCACGTCTTCCTCAGAGGCAGCCTCTTTCCTAGTGTCGACTCTTTGACGTTTGGATAACATTTCAATTATCTGGTTGCTTAAGATAATTGAATTTGATTAAACTGGTTAATGGTTCCCTTTATTTATAGGCATGAATGTTGATTCTTCGTTTTCTACACCGATATAAGTGTAATTAAAGGGGGCTGAATTGGTTATTAAGTCTATTAAGTACCTATTCGGCCTGAGTTCTTTTAGCCTATCTAACTCTTAAAAGCAAAAGTCAGGCCAAACATCAATTTTTGAGAAATTCTTAATAAAAAGCTATTTTTTTTTACAACAAAATTTTCGAAAACAGAGCTTAAAGAAAAGCTCGATGGAAGAGCTTTCTCTTAGATATGGAAATAGGCGAATACATAATTTTGAATCTGGCGTCATTAGATATGGAATCACGTGAGAACACAAATTTGAATCATGTGACTAGTTAATATGTAATCGCGTGAGTAATATAATTGGGATTGCTTGACTTGTAAATATGGGATCACGTTACTAGTAAATATGGAATCACGTGCGTATTTGATATGGAATTATGCACCCTTAGATATGGAATCACCAGTGAACAAAATTTTGAGTCACGTAACTAGTTAATATCCAATCGCGTGAGTAATAGAATTGGAATTATGTTACTCTTAAATATAGAATCGCGTGACTAATAAATAGGGAATCACACCAGTATTTGATGATTTTGAATCAGGCGACTACTCAAAAGAAGAGCCACAAAACTCTTTCTAAGGTTTCCCTTTCAACTTTCACCCACAAAGTGACAAATTACCCTAAACTCATTTGCTAATTTTGTCCATCAAATCAGTAACGTCATCCTATTTTACATCTTCACCGAATCGTTTGGCCTCAAAACAGCAGAAGCCCCCAAATTTCCTCAGTTGGGAAAATGAGCCGCAAACCTAAACGCACAAGGGTCACAGACAACAGTGGTTCAGGATGCTCTGCCGGTGTGGGAACATCATCAACCTTGTTTGTGAGTTCATTTTTGGACAATTTCTCTCATCCATCGCACACTGAGAAATTCTACGGCACTTTTGGCAAATGCAAGGTAATGCCTGGATGCATAATTGACTTTGATTATTTAAAGTCCATTGATTTCTCATACCTTGTGAACTTGAAAAATTTTGGGTGGACACATTATTTACAATTGAATAGGAAATGCTATGAGAATTTGGTCCGAATTTTTTACTACAATGCAACACAAAAATATGCTGAGTTCGAAACAGGTCAGGTAGTCAAGCATGACAATATGTTTGTCACTCACGTCATGGGACAACGGATCCTTGTTACTCGTGATCTGATAGAACGAGTCGTTTACCTTACTTCTCTCCAAGAAGATCTCTACTATGTCTTTGATAATGGGAACCTTCGGTCGGTGTTTATCTACCCTACACCAAATGAGGGAGGTAGTCATAGTTGCACAAGGCTATGTTTCTTTGATCAAGTATTGCACCTCATCATCATTCACACTATCCGTCCTCACGGCTCAAACTACTCGACTGTCATGACAAAGGACCTTTGGTTCTTATATAACATCAAATTAAAACGCCATATCGACCTTACTAAATTCATCATGGATGACATGCTCCGGACCATTCAAGGTGGCATCAAACGCCTACTTTACGACATGTTGATTAATGAGATCATAGACTACTTCAAAGTTGACACTCATTGTGATTTGCCTAAAACCCATGCTTTGTTCAGTCATATTGATGAGCATAGTATTAGAAGCTAGGTTTTGAGTTCATAAATAAGGGTTGGGTTAGGAATGCGGCAATTGGTAACCCAGATTTTGATGAGGATGGGAATGAGGGTGAGCCGAGTGTGTATCCCATGGGCCCCTATACTGCTCAATCTACTACACCTAATTCCACCACATTCGATGTTGAGCAAGCTTTCAGTAGACTCTTCTCATTTATGGAAACAATGGATTCTAGGTTGAATGCCCATATGGAATTGTTGGAGGTGTAGAATCATGAGATGTTGCAGCGCCAAAAATACTTGAAGGTTCAATTTCGCTCTCAATTTCCACCACCATCATGAGTTCTCACTACATACGTATGCTCTATTAAGTGTTTGGATTGTTCGATTCAATGGCTACCTGGGTATCAAATTCTGTATCATGCCATCTTGTATGTTGTAAGCTTATTGTAGACATGTAAATTATGATGTCTGATCATTTTGCTTTATGCATATTAGATTACCCGTTTCGACCGTAGGATGGGAATTTTTTTTCCATGTTGGATTTCCAAGATCTGTTTAATGTTTATCTCAAGCATCTGCTACATATATTTCCTACGTTACTGTTTCCTTAATGGTTATGTACGTATGGTTTGTTGAATCCTTCAACACCATAGATATATGTTACATTGGGTTACCAATGGATTTTGAACAATGGCTAAAGAACTCATTTGTTTAAAGTAACTTTGTTTATTATTGCCAATAGCTTAAAATATTGGCGATAATAAACAAAGTTACTTCAAACAAATTGTTCTACTTTAGCCATCTAAACAATGCTATTATTATTATAAAAATTTCTTTCCCTCTAGGCAAAAATATGAAGTAGAAGGCCAGAATTAATCATGCAAATATTATTATTAAATATTTTCTACTTTAATTTAAAAGTTTACAATGACACAAATTATAAAGTACAATGCATTAGATGAAACCCAAATAATATCTTAAGATATCTTATTCCTGGCTATTGTCAGAAGCGAAAGTATCATCTTCAGACTCTGACATACTCCAATTCAAATGGTAATATTTAATGCAAATGTCAATGGCCAAATCCAAACAATCCCTAATAACTGACGTTTGAAAGGCCACTATCTTTAGGTACAACACCTATAACGTTTCTAAAGTTTGTGGTCCGCATTGGACAGTGGTTTCGTGTGTGCCCGGGTTGTCTGCAAATTGAACATGCCTTGGGTCGTCGTCGTTGTCTAGCCGTTGATTGAGTAGATGATGTTTCCGTGTTTGTCGAAAGACCTGCAAACGGCATAGGGTAATTTTGTCTATTATGGCCATAGCTCTTGCATTGTGAACATTTATGTCGTCGACTGCCTTCCCCAATTGATAGAATCCTTTTCCTCCTAGGTCTTCCTGCTTGACCTTGCCAGGTTGGTAGCAAAACCACTATTTGTTTAACGTCATGGGGGATGTCCCACTTACTGGGATGCCCAACCGAGCGAATGGGAACCGCATATCCATCCACCCAAGACCGAGTAAAGTAATAGTTCGAGCAGAATTCAATGGCTGCATGTTTGCACTTACTACCAAGGCAATGAAATCACAATAGGCGAACAATGTCAAAATTCAATTCATCACACAAAAAATAAGGAAACAAGATTATTCATACCTTATTGTCGGCATGGCATGTGTGCAGGGGAGTAAATCAGATTGGAACTCATTGCATGAACACGCCTTCGTGCACAGGTTGATGACTGCGTCCTTAGTCCCGCCTATAACTTGAAACTCCATTCGATTAATTGGTTGTACAAAAAAGTGACATGCTTCATTGAACCGTTTGTTCAATAGATCAATTGCCCAAAAGCTGAAGGGCATGGTCAAATTCAATGCCTCATTGTGCCGGTCATGGAACCAATGTTGGAACATGTCTCTGATGCACTCTATCAGGACAGTTATTGGCATTTTCCTTGCGTGCCTAAGGCAGGAGTTAATATACTTCGCAATGTTTGATGTTATTAGCTTGTATTGCCTTACTGGTGACCGTGCACGTGCCCATCTCTTAGGGCCTAATCTCATAAGGAGGTCATAAATAGGTTTGCAAACCTGTTTCAGCTGATTCATATGTCTGTTAAAATCGACAAGCCTATAGCAGTTGGCTGCCACCGTGAATATCACGCCAACATCTTCACGCTTGAACATGTTTTTAATGTTTTTTCCTAAGTGGTAATGGCATAGACCGTGATGCGCATCCTTATACATTTTCTCAACTGTATTCTTAATGCCAATATGCTGATAAAAAATGAACATTACATTTTCAGGACAACCAATTGCACGACATAATTGGTTAAGAAACTAAGACCAAGACTCTTCATCCTCCACGTGGTCAATGCCAAATGAAACTGGATATATCTGCTCATTCGCATCTTTGCATATTGCAACAAACAGAATACGCTTGAATCTGTCTTTCAGGTGTGTGGCATCGATAGCAACTACAGGTTGCATTACAACACTGACCCCCCGGATACGTGAGCTGAATGCCCAAAAACAATATTTGAATCGTTGTTCCCCATTCGTAGCAACACTCGTGACGGTACGGAGATTTTCACGTTCCAACATATGAAAATACGAAAGGAGGAGTTGGAATGACTCTTTCAAGGGACCGAACACAAGACTCTTTGCATACTCCTTCGCTTGCCACACCTTACCATATAGGCATTGCAATCCCCATTTGCGATTCATCTCTTCCATTATTTCCTTAGGTCTCACTGGGGTTACATAATTTTCGTGTAGCCTGGTGAAGATAAGCTCACCAATTAACCTTGCGCTCGCAATTCGGTACCCACAATGTAAACCATTAATAGTACATGTGTGTACCTTCTACACCATTCGAAGTTGCCAATATTCTCCCTTAGGCAACTTCGTTGCACGCAATGCAAACTTGCATGCCTTCTCCTTGCAACCAACCTCAAAACGAGCATGACATGACTTTTTAACTCTGACCTCAAAATGTTATTTTAGTGGCAACATGCTCAAAGCTCGTTTCAATTCAGCATTCGATGGAAACATTTTTTCGAGATAAGTGGTCGTCAATTGATTTGGAATCATTAGTCGCAACTGTTTTGAAGGATATCATATCCACCCCGGGAATAATCCATTGACTAAATACCCCTGTATTTACCTTCTCTTAATCACTATCATCAAGCGAACGAATGTCCTTATCAAGTGCGATGTCATTGTCATAAATAAGGTCGATACCCTCTACATCTTCTAATTCAACAGTTGTGGCATGGTCCTCGAATTAAACCTCTTCTAACACAACAGTTGTGGCGTGTCCTATACTGCCATATGCATGATTGTAATCCCCAATGTCGATGTGCTCACCCCTGTCGTCCTCTGAACCGTCATCATGTCTACCAACATGATCATCTTCACAGTCATCATGCAACTCATCGTTTCAATCCGCCATGTCATCCTCTTCAACATCATCTTCAATCTTATTAGATGCATCCTCATCACTCACAACCATTACAATGTCCTGTGCGAATGACAATGGACCCAATGGATTTTCGTGCGACAGTTGCGTTTGTTGCAAAGTACCAAGTATTTCATTCGATCCACATTTCGATCGGAATTGTGCAGACATCATTTGCATACACCTTATGTGTGTACCGGCCTGCTCAAACTCATTAGGATACGTCAACCGTGATTGCCATGGTTGTTGGTTCGAAAATACGTGGTGTGGTAGGTCAAAATAATTAACATTCTGTTGTAAGTGATATTATGTTCGATACCATGATCATGTGGAATATCGTTTGCATTTCCTGCCTTAACTGTCATAAATACAACAACTACCCTCTCACCTCGTAGAACACTTGCTACATTGTCATCATCCCTGATAACTGCGCGCGAAAGGCCTGCGGCATAACTGAGCAATGCATGTAGCTCGATTTCATTATTATGTAAGTTGACCCCAACAACCTCTTCAACTAGCTTTAGTAGGCCTGAAAATGACAACTCACCCCTAACAGCCCTCACTCATGTCTCACCACCCTTGTAAGTGTCATCGACCCAATGATCGTCGTAAGTAATCATAAGCTTCATATTTGACAAGTCATTGAAATTTAACAGAAAATAAGTGTCACAATCAGTCAATTTATCAAAAATTACCCCTCAATGCATAAAAACCACTTACACAATGCCTAAGTCATATTTCACAAGCTGCTGAAATTTAACAGAAAATAAGTGTCGCATTCTAATGCACATTCATGCAGACCTTAAAAACTAGTGAACAAAAGCCTCTAAACAAGAGATGAATTGCACAAGCCACGCACTGTCAGTCTCGCAATACCTAATAATAAGTCACTCAATGCGTAATATCCACTCACATTATGTCAATATAACCAGTCACGTAACAGCTCAATGTCACGCAAAACATAACAACAGGTTACGCAATACATAAAAACAGTCACACAGCGTCTAAAAACTAGTTAACAAAAGCCTCAAAACAAGTGATGAATTTCACAAATCACGCACCGCCAGTCTAGCAATACCTAATAATAAGTCACTCAATGCTTAACATCCACCCACGCATTATGCAAACATAACCAGTCACGTAACGGCCTAATGTAATGCAAAACATAACAATAGTCACGCAATACATAAAAACCAGTCATGCAGTATCTACAAATGAGTGAAAAAAAGCCTCAAAATAAGAGATAAATTGCACAAGTCACGCATCTCCACTCTCGCAATACCCAATAATTATAACTCACTCAATGCGTAATATGGGGAGATCTATTCTCAGAAACGCCTTATGCATAGAGCCCAATGTAAAAAAGAAAGAACTCCTCACATTATGCCAACATAACTGGTCACATAACGACCCAATGTCACGCAATACATAACATGCGCGCAATACATAAAAATAGTCATGCAATGCCTACAAACTACTCAATAAAAGCCTCAAACCGAGAGATAAATTACACAAGTCATGCACTTTCAGTCTCACAATACCTAACAATAGGTCACTCGATGCCTAATATCCTCTCGCATTATGCCAACATAACTAGTCACGTACTGCCCCAACGTCACGCAATACATAA